GACCTTCAGAGATTGTCAGAGGAATCCTGAGACCACCAACTACAACAAATTCTTGGCGGGAGGTATGAAGAAAAATTCCCGTTTGATTTCCTTTATTATTGCTTGGATGTTAAAACCCTGTTTGCATAACCATGCCCAAATGTCAAGGGATGACATTTTATTAATGCATGTGATTAAGAAGAAAATCAAGATTGATTGGGTATCAATTGTAAATGACTGTATGTGGAAGGCAAGACGGAAAGAGGATGGGCCAATTCCGTATGCTCTGTTACTGTCAAAAAATTTTGAGAATGCAGGGGTAGACTTAACAGGGGAGAAGAAAATAATTCTCCATGCCTCTAACAAAATTGAGAAATCATCCTTGCATCACATGGGGATGCTCAAACAGGAAGATAAAATAAAAAAAAATATTTAAATTTATAAGTTTAATATTTAAAAAAAACTTCAAGTCCTACATCGATTGAAAATAAAACAATTAAAGAGTATATTAGTTAGGGCAACACTTACCTTATAAGTAGATTTGTATGGTTGAGTGTTAGGCTTATAATCTACAATCTTAAAATTTAAAAGATTATGTATCACATGTTGGAGGCATGGAAACAAATGTTTCGGATAAATTCATTGTGAGCATTAAGAATATATATATATATATATATATATATATATGAGGAGGATCCGTTTACTTCAAAAGTAAGTTTATCTAGACTTACTCCGTTCAATAACTCATGATTTATATCAAGTTTTGAACAATTCAACTGTTGAATTTAAAATTTTAATGCATAGATCAAATCTACAAATTTTTAAAAAAATTTGAACACCATTTGATACTTTGTTTCGTTAATTCAAATCAATGTATAAAATAATTTTATGATTATCCGTCAATTTGAATTAATAAAATGAAATATCAAATGATTTTTAAATTTTTTAAAAATTTACAAAATTGATCTATGCATTAAGAATTTTAAATTCAACGGTTAAATCGTTAAAATTTGATGTAGAACATAAGTTATTGAACAGAATAAGTCTAGATAGACTTACTCTTGGAATATAATTACTTAATATAAGTTTAGATAGACTTACTCTTAGAGTACAATTATAATTATATAATGTACAATTACTTAATATAAATTTTCATTTGCAATAAAAATATAATGTATAATTACTTAATGAAAGTTTTCATTAGAAGGATAAAATGGTCCATTAAAAATAAAGACAAAAAACATTTAAGGAATAAAATATATCCTTTATCTATTAATTAATATTAATATATATATATATATATATATATATATATATATATATATTCATATGATATTACTAATTTTATTTTCAATAAGTATGCAAGACAATTGGACAAATCTAAATAATCCATAATATAGCCAAATATATTTTTCTAAAGAAACACAAAATGTGTGAAATAAGTTTATAACACATCCACAATACAAAAACCCACAATAAGGTCTGAACTTACAAGTTCCAAGCCAAAATTAAAAAACAAAATTTTGAATTATTAAATTACCTGATATAATATTACAATTTTATTATTAATAATTATCTATTAAATATAAATATAATATATGTTTTATATAATATAAATATATACTATATAATATATTATTATATAATACTATTATGTATACAAGCCGGTCTATTAAGCTCAATAAACTTATATTAAAACTTAAAATTTTGCTTATTTAGTTAAAAAAGCCTTTTAAGAAATCTAAGTTATCTACTTCCTCGTCTAAAGATTGATAATTGGTAAAGACAATGAAAAGTGAGACCAATATAATTATAGTGTTAGGTGTGTAACAATGTTTAATGAATGTGTTGTTTTTGGTATATATATATATATATATATA